AAAGAGCGGTAAGTCAAGCCATGTAATTACAGACCGGCTTTGATGTGTCCTTTATACTGAAAGTACAGTGCTCCCAAACCATTAAATACCTAAAGTTATAAACCCCTTCCTTATAATCAGGAAATGCTGTCACCACACCATGCACCTGTACCACCTCTTCAGGCAGAATCAGGCAGAATGTAATGCCCATACGTATACACACAGAGACACATCCCAGCTGGGGGCGGAGGGGACAACGACACCAAAACACCAACCAAAACATAGTAGCAAGGTAACAGCTATAAACTGAGAATCAACTGTCCTGTTAACCTTCTTATTATGTACCTGATGTATTGGCATCCTTCCCTAATTTCCCTCTGCTTCAGATCATCTATGCATACTTTGCAGTACAGCTTTTGTCTTTATAGACCTTTAAAAAAAAAACCCTCCTTTTTTGGCCTGTCAATCAGACATTTCATAGTGTAACCTAGAGTAGCCATAAACTCTAATCTGGCTTCCAATTAAAGACAAATTAGCTATAGGGCAAACAAATACCATTGTGACATGTTTTTGTTATTACCTCTGCCATTACAATCTTCGTGACTTTATGCATTTACTAAGGGGAAGAAAAAAGTTTACCATCCCAAAAATTAATGGTACCTCATCAGCAATTATTCAGACTTTCTTGAGAACAGATAATTGCTTTTTCTAAAAGATAATCTCACACTTAACTATCAAAATACCTACTAAATTCCCCTATCCTTCCAGCCTCCAAATCCCGTTTTTAATTACAAGAATTCACGTGTGTACCAACACTACTCTAGAAGCATGGTAAAAAGTTTACCGATTTATTTTCAGTGTTTGAAATCTCCTGTTGTGTAGTAGCTAGAAGAACATTAAAGCCAACAAATTAAAGCTGGTTAACTGGAAAAGTTACTTGCATTCACATTGAAAAAACAGCTGATAATACAGAGGCAAGAATTAGTAGTAAAGATGATGTTCCTTAAAAAATAATCACAGTGAAGTTTTCAACAGCATGATTAGGTTCAATAAGTTTATTTTGAGGATTCTTCTAACAGATTGTTATTTTCCCTGCTAGTCTTCTGGCTCCTTTATCTCCTTTATAGCAACTATGAAATAAAAGCACCCATTTGTTGTGGATTTTTTAAATCTTAATTCCATTTAAATTCAGAGGAGGATTCAGAACAGTATGCTTCTGAAACTAATTCCCACCAGACAGCAAAAAAATATATGTGTTCAGAATTTGAAAATTTAACCACACTTAAGTTTCTTTGCTTAGAGGAATCTACATATACAAACTTAGCATTATCATTCTCATTCAAAATGTTTTTTTCTTAACACTTAAAACAGAGGACGAATAATATGCAGAAGAAATGAAGCTACACTGGCCTTTTAAAATTATGGAACAACAACAAAAAAATCTCTTTTTTTTGTTTGCTTCTACTTAAAAGAGTTTACATGGAAGTTTAGTGATGATGATGACTTTACATAAACAAAGTAATTAAGGTTTGACCACCAGTGAGGGTGATGAGTCACTGGCACAGGCTGCCCACAGAGGCTGTGGAGTCTCTATCCTTACAGATACTCAAAATCCAACAGACAAAGCCTTGAATAAGCTCTTCTGGTTGACACTGCTTTGAGAAGGGAGTTGGACTAGAGACTTCCAGGTCCTTTCCAATCTCAACTCCTCTTATGATCTGTGATATTTTGGTATTGCTCGAGCAAAGGTTAAAACAAACGTTTCATCACCAAGTTGCAACTTTGTTGTCCTAGCTTGAGAGGGGACTAAAACTTCATGGAATTCTATAGTACTCCCAAGTACCATCATGTACAGTTGCAATATCAATAATGATACAAAGTCCTTATGCGCACAGCCAAAGTTTCCTACTAAGCCTGAATGCTGAAGATGCAGTTTTTCTCAAACAGGCTAGCTTTTATTTCTTCCTAAAATTTAAATATGCTGGTATCAAACCAATAAAAGCATTCTAAATACTGACATAAGCATTTATTTTCTTATGTAAGAAAATAACATAATTGGTTGTCAGCTTGGTTGCCAGTGACAGATGTTAGTTAAAACTAATCAGAGATTGACCTGGAATGCATCCAGACATCATTAGCAAGCTAATATTCATATTACAAGCATGTGGAGATAAAAGAAAGACCACTCCGAAAGCTCAAGCTGAAGTCAGAATTCTTGATCAAATTCCAAAGTTCATTTTCTGCCTCAAGGTACTGCAGTGAGGGAGAACAAGCAAGCCTATCCAACTGACAAACACTGATTTTGCAGCCTTTGTAAACTATCTACTTGTTGCTGTGTTGACAAACTGTAGTAAGTTCACTCCTCCCAGAGGAAGCAGCCAACATCATTCTCACCAAGACCCATATATGCCTGAGCATAATAGTCAAGATCATTAACTACACAAGTTTTAAATATAAGACACACGTTTAATGGCAATTTCTTGTTTATTTTTAAAAAAGTTGCAAAGACAGCTAATGTGAACATGAAGCTCTTTTTTTCTTCTTTTAATAGGAATGCCTGCAACCACATGAAACCAATAAAACCTGAACAGTTTACACAAAAAAAAAAAATCATTTTTTTTAATTTTATTAAGCTAACCTCAGTAAGAAGCGTTACCTACTAATGCAGTAGCACTGAAGTTCTTCTATTTGAACCGTTTGTGTGGTCAATCAACCAGCACTTACATTTTCATTTGATGCAAAGTCATAAGACATGGAATTAAAGCAAACTGAAAAAAAAAAAAAAAAAAAACCCAAAGCATTACAATTCCATGCCTTTATACCTTGATGTAAGACATTCAATGTCCTCCAGAATTTCTGGGCTCTTCTCTGCCACAAGAAGTAGGCACAATACAGTTCTCATATCTTAACCGTACAGGTATTTCAACCAAGAGCTAAACAACTGAACTAGGTATTATTTACAACCGTTGATGGAAACAGTTTCTTCTGCATCTTCCAGTAATTAAAAAAGTGAAAATACCTGTCAATACTGTCAAATCTAGAATGTTCTATTCTAGAGCATCTTTTCCTCCTTTACAGCAAGCTCAACTTAACTTTCCGTGGACCAATTGGCCTATCATTCAGTTCATTAATAGCAGCCATAGCTTCCTCATAGTTTGTCATAGCAACGATGGCATCACCTGAAGGTAATCCTTGTTCATTATACTGTACAGAAACCGACTCTGGTATGACTCTGTAGCCATAGAAAAAATCCAGAATCTCATTAGGAGTTGCTTTAAAAGGTAAATTTTTCAATCGAATAGGAACAACACGTTCAGAACCACCACTGAAATTTGGATCCGGCATAAATCTTCCTTCAGGAAAATTTCCCATTTTATTATTCCCAAACTCCATTCTGCCATAAGGTTCACTGTCACCACCAAAATCCATGAGGGGCGGCGGACCTCTAAAATCCTTAGGAGGGCACATGAAGTCCTCAGGGGGGTGCCTAAATTCAGAAGGATGCCTGAAGTTCCCAGGGGGACCAAATGAATGCATGGGTGGCCCTTGTGGTGGCCCAGATGGTGAACCAACTGGACGGGAAAGCTCACCTCTGTCATACGGATGTGAATGACTCTGCATTTCATTTGGTGCAGACAACGGTACATTTACACCAAACTTCTGCATCTGCTCTTCAGATATAAGTCTTATTAATACCTCCGTTCCCAAAAATCTTCGACGATTTAAATTTTCTGCTTTCATGGCTTGTTCTTCAGATTTAAACCTCACTAATGCTTCTCCCAGCCCAACTCCTTTGTCATCATAGAGCAAGTAAATATCATCTTCATCAATATCGAATCTCGCAAAGAACTTTTGCACTTCAATTTTTGACACATCAAATGGAAAATTCCTTACGTAAACACACATCTTGGGGCCAGAATGACCTTCCCGATAACTTTTTTCTGGTATGGCTTGTCCAGGATGATCTCTGTCCTGTGATCTTTTCCTCTCACAAGAATCAATTATTTTCAGCATTGACTTTCTTGAAATTGGAAAAATGTAAACAGGACGATTGAGAAGAACCTTTCTATGACATTCCAAAGCAGCCTGATAATCTCTCTCACTCCTCAACATCACAAAGGCATCTCTAGTCCTCCTCTGATGCTTATCTGTTAGAAGCTTGATTTGTTTGCTGCATATATCCAGATCAGGGAAAAAAGCTCTCAAATCTCTCTTCTCCACATTAGTAGATAGGTTTCTTAAGTGTATGTAATATTCCTGGCTGGGAGGTGATCGAGAACGTGTTCTTTGTCTCCTTGGTGATCTTGAATGAGAATGCTTCCTTGCATGCATGTAGCCCAAACTTCTTGGAGAATGATCTTCGCACAAAAAGTGATCAATCTCATTTGGCATGTCTACCCTCCCACCATATTCAATCCACCGTTCCTCTGTGGATGGGCTTATTTCTATAAACCTCTGACCCATGTATTGTCTATGACGTTTAAGTCCTTCTAAGGCATCACCAGGCGTAGCAAATTTTACCAAGCAATCACCATTGTTTAAACCGTTGCGATGCTTTATCAGAATCACCCCATCCACATGTATCCCAGAAAGGAAAGCACGTACTTCATCTTCTGTTGCAGAGTAAGGTATGCCACGTAGAAATAAGTAAAGATCATCTGGGTTAAATGGGTGAGAATCCTTTCGTGACGGATAGCTTGGTTTAGGCATACCTATATCGCCACGTCTTGTGCCATTAGTATGGAAACCAGCATCCGGATGATTTGGTGGACCATAACCAGGTTTACTTATTCCTTTTGGAAAAGCCGTGACTAAATGTGGAATGTCACCAACACCTGATGCACCAGAACCGTTAGTACCTGTTCTTCTAGAGCCAGCCATAGTTTCTCGTCCCCCACGGTCAAATCGTTTCCGGCTCATTTCTATGGTATTCTGCATTTCTGCCTTGCTGCTGAGAAAGAGCTCTATGCGCGAGTCCTTGATAAACCCTCCTGAACAGCTCATGGCACGCCGTGCATCTTCATCTGTTGCAAATATAATAAAAGCCTCCCCAATCTCTCCTCCAATAATATGCACACCTCCATCAGGAATATTCAATCCCAAGAAGAAACGACGAATATCTGCAGGACCCGCAACAACAGGAAGCCCCTGTAAACGGATGACTACAGCCATGCTGAGCTCAACCCACAGCAAAAATCACCTGCAGACAAAAAGGTACACATGATAGCACGTCTTTAGTACTCAGCTGTTACAGTATCTTAATACTTAAGAAGCTAGAGCCTTTTTAATGAATGTCCTTGTCTCAATCAAGAGAGAAGGTATCAAAAAACCCACAGGTTCACAAGAACAAGATTAAAACAAGATTCACTGGAAGTTGGTTAGTCAGAACAGTTAGCTACTCCACCGGCACATGTGCACAAGTCTATCAGTATTCCCTATCCTAAGGGCAACAAAATCCACCTAAGTCACTCCTCACCATCCACAATACCTAAAGAACACCCAAGTCTTTCACAGCATAGTTGCTGTATGCCAGAGATCTCTGCCCAGTCCTAAGGAACAAAAAAAAAACCAAAAAAAAAAAACCAAAAAAAAAATCCTGTTTACTTTTGAACAGGATATTTGTGATCATAACACAGAAAGTACAAGATGATAAAAGGAGACAGGAAAAAAGATAACTACGTCACTGGAAAATGAAGTAGTTCACCAACAGTGATGACTTTACTGCTTTGACAAGTTGCTCTACCCAGTGATCAGTTCTGTTCAATAACATATGTTTTCTCAGCGTTCAGAAATGTTGTCTCTTTCACTGCAGCAGCCACCTGCACTCAGGAGAGCATATCCTAGTTCCCAGCCACAAGTCTGTGAGAAAAAAAGGCTGTGTATGATCTCGTGACAATACTCAGTGAGAAGTGTTAAGCTTTTGGCAGCTTACCTGTTTCTGCTTTGAAGACCTGATAAATTCTGTAAAATCAACTTAACTGTGGAAAGAAAACGAAACATAATTAATGGCTGATATCTGTACTTCGGTTACATACTTCGCTTACACTGCTGCAGCTCATCCATAGCAGTGGCTACTATTTTAAAGCCAAGCATATAGTGAACCCACAGTTTGGGATTCTACGAAGAATTCCTTCCACATTCCAAGCTGCTATGCACGGCATCTTTGTGTTTCCATTTTGGAAGCAAAAGAAATTCAAAATTTAAGTTGACTTCTGCAAATGATGAAAACACGATGAGATTACTTGGTCATCAGTTGTGCCACACTGAACTGTTGAAATGAAACAGACTGACAGTAAATCGAGGGAAAAAAACTCTCAATTCAATTCTTTTGAGTCCTTGAAAGACGCGTAAGTCCATCTCAAGATTACAGTACGTGTCCATCCTTCTGAAATCCACCTGCTTTCAAAGTTCACAGCAAGAGTATGCTACTCACAGTCCAGCACTGCACTTAGTGTACACAGTGAAGACAATCAAATGAAAGAGCAAAAATAGCCAACAAGGAGGAACTTCAGGGAGTACTTCAATTTACAAAGCAAACTTCAGTATTCCCCCTACATGTTTACTGCCTTTTCAAACATTAAGAACAAGAATCCCTTTAATACACTGACTTGAACATATCCTGATTTTCCACATTATCTAACATCAGACAATACATTACACTACTCTCAGAACACAAGCTTCTGTAGCAAATGACTACATCCCTTTAAAAAAAAAACCCAAGAGCCCAATGCTCCAGTGACAAGTGTTTGAGAACATCCCGTGTACAAACCCCTCGCTCAATCACAAACATAAAGCACTAGATCCTGATGCCAAGTTATCTACTGATCACAGTAACTATCACTCCACCTCCACTCCAAACAAGAGCAAAGGCCAAAATCTGTAACTACGTCACTTCTACATCAACACTTTGTAAACACAACAAACCGAAACCAACTGCCTATTTAATAACTCCGCTGGAGGTCATCTGCTCTCCGTATTTTTGTGGTGGGTTGACCCCAGCCAGCAGCCAAGCACCCACACAGCTGATCATTCACTCCTCATCCCCACCAGCAGGATGAGGAAGGAAATAGGAAGAACAAAGTCAAGAAAACTTGTGGGTCAAGATAAAGGCAGTTTAACTGGCCAAGGAAAGAGAAGAAAGCGAAACAAAGGAAACCACTCACCACGTCCCAGAGGCTGACTGACACCCAGCCTGCCTCCAAACAAACACCACCTTGGAAGCCAATACAAAAATCCCCTCCCCTCCCACCCCACCCCCTGCCAAAAAAAGCAAAATGATCAAACAAAAAACTTCTTCGTCCTCTGCCTCAGGTTTTGTTGCTGAGCATGATGTTACATGGCATGGAATATCCCTTTGGTCAGTTTGGGTCAGCTGTCCTGGCTGTGTCTCCTCCCAGCTTCTTGCCTGCTCCCAGTGTACTTGCTGGGGCAGCAGGGGAGGGGAAAGAGAAAGCATTGACACTGTGCAAGCGCTGTTCAGCCATAGCCAAAACACTGATGTGTTGTCAGCACTCTTTTAGCCACAAATCCAAAACACAGAACGGTATGGGCTGCTACGAAGAACGTTAACTCCATCCCAGCCAGACCCAGTACTCCTTTTAATGTATCTTCTCAACAGAGGTGACGGCAATGCCAAAAAGCAAGGAGAATTCAAGGGCAGTATTTTCTTATAGGACCTTCGTGTCTTGAAAAATCAAATCCACTGCCCTGCTACTTCATGATGTAATTAATCTGTAGGATTTCTGAATTTCACAACTCTGCATTCTTATCCCAATTTTTAAATAGCATTCAGAACAGATCTCCTCAGTACTTCTTCGGTGATAAATGGCAAGTTCTCCACGATGTACCATGGATACGACATACAAATTTCAGTGGTGAAAACCAGACACAGGGATTCCAGATCATAATGTGATACTTAAGAAGTCCATAAACAGAAATATAAGTTCAAATCATAACCTTTTACTGAGAACTGAGCATTGGGAGAAAGCATAGACAAGCCATCCAACAGTTTAAAGTGAATGACCAAAAAGAGCGACTTTGGGATGAAAGTGCCACACAAAGCTAAGACCAATTCATTAACTGAGCAAGGACTTCAGAGAACAAGGTTTAGAGAACAGATAAATTGACAACTTCATGCCATCAATTTAAAAGCACAGAAGCGTGCACAAGTTTTAAGAAATTTTGTATCTGAACTAACTAGAAAACAATACTATACCGACACTTCCACAGCCTCAGCAAATTCCAAATACCATTAAAACTCCACTAAACAAACAAACAAAAAAAAAACCCAACTTGCAAGCATTGTAGGGAAGTAAGCCTACACTAGACTAGTATTTTCACCACAACGTTGAGAGATTACATAGTCTGCATGCAGTGAGCACGCAAGCTACAAAGTACACCCACAGAAATACCCCAGCTATAAACCTGGACCCGTATGAGAATTAACTGGTGGATCAGACTAATCTTTTTCAAAACAAGCCTTAACAGTCCAAGTAAGCTGGCGCTAATGACAGCGTTCACATCGCTGGAGGAAGAGGCGAGTGAGCTCTGTGGCTGGGCCCGCGGCGGGGCTTGAGCACGGAGCCGCTTCCGAGCGCTAGCGAGGCGCCCGCCGCCCGCAG